CATATCCCCTGTGGGCTGAAGCGCTCCAAGATCTACGAGATATTGCATAACCTGCATTTCCACCTTGCCTCAATGTTAGCTACTGCAATTTTAATGGTCGTCTCTCTTTCTACAACAACTATTTTATGCAAATTTCGTAAATGATAATAAAAAAAAAAAAAAAAAAAAATCATAAGAAAGATGACCTTTTTAATATCCTTTTCGTAAACGGAGTAGAAAAGTTGTAAGAGGGTGTCCCTTGTTGAACTCTTAATCTCTCCCATCATACCAAAGTCATAGTAAATTATTGCTCCATCCCTATCTATAGCTACATTTCCTGGATGTGGATCAGCGTGAAAGAAACCATTCTTCAGTATCTGCAATATATATACAACAAATTCATTCTCAATCTTTTTACATCAACACCATAAACCGCGTTTTATTCGACAGTTCATTTTAAGAAGATAAGCTAACCTGGATTAAGAAGGCCTCAATTGCACGTGACGAAATTTTAGAACGATCATAACCCCGCGCATCTATCTTATCCAGCTGGTTTATCTTAATACCTTATTAAAATGGTAAAAAAAAAAATTCAAAGAATCTTAATTCACATGTGTATACAAGAACATTCTTAATAGAGACACGAACAATATCCGATATCAAAGTATTACCTGGAACATACTCTAACGTTAGCACCTTAGTTGCTGTATATTCCCAGAAAACCACCTACATTATAATGAAAAAACCAAAAGCAATAATAATCATATTCGAGAATTCAGTAAAGTAAAAGTCTCCGTAAAATATCAAGAATGTAATGAAATATTTACGGAAAGATATTTCTCATAGTTAAGATATGAGAGCAAGAAATTTAAAAGTACTTGAGGAGAAAACATACAGGTACTCGGACCCACTTTATATTGCGAAAATCCCGACGTAATCTATCAGCATTCTTTGCCTCCTGTATATAATCAATTTCTTCATACAAGATCCTGAAATTTCCATAAACATGACAAATAAGAATCACAAGCGGCCAAACGGGCTATTTATATATTATGAATGCACTCAAGATTGTATTTATATATCTTATTACTGGTCTTAAGTACATTTCCAGATTAACTCTTTAATCTTAAAATGGTTTCACAGCAGGGGAGATGCCAAAGCTGATTGTGAATGCCCGTTTTATTCAATTAAAATAATTAATTTACAGAAACCACTAATGATAATATTCTTCTAATACAACTTACTTGGCACATTCGTCGTATATCCCCATCCAATCCCTCGCTGGACCGCCTAGAGATTCACTTGTTTGGAACCATTGAGCAATTAGCTTGAAATTTTCTGAACAACGAGAAAGTTAGAAAAAGGAAGCAATTTATATGTGTGTGTGTGTGTGTGTGTGTGTGTGTGTGTGTGTGTGTGTGTGTGTGTATATATATATATATATATATATATATATATATATATATATAAGTTGTCAAAAGAGTGTAGATATTAGCTCACTAAGATCAATGTCAAAAAGTTTCTTGAGGCCTGGTCTTTGAACTTTGACGATTACCGTCTCTCCGTTTTGCAAGACAGCCCTGTGAACCTAACAATATGCGTCATAAACACAATCACAATCAAATGTTTACGGATGTATGTATTTAATTAGTAAAAACAAAAACGACAAGGCAACGAGGGGTAAAATAACACCTGACCAAGACTAGCAGCTGCAATTGGTTGGTCTTCGAACTCCTTGAACAACACATTAATCCCAGCTCCCAATTCTCTCTCGATAAAATTCTTCACTTTGACTGTTGAAAATGCAGGTACCCTATCCTGGTAAACACAATTTGACAAAAGTCGAGGAGCAAGACAAAGAAATTCATCATAAACAGTTACGACATATCAATGAACATAGTGTTTGTTACCTGCAGTTTCGAAAGCTCGTCGACATATTCTTTAGGAAATATATCAGATCTTGTTGATAATATTTGGCCGAGTTTGATCAGAGTGGGACCAAGTTGCAGCACACGTTCCCTTAACCATGAAGCCGTTTTCCGTCTTCTCTTTCTCTGATCAATTTTAATTGGATCTTAAGATATAAATATAGACATATATATAAACGAAGAAATGACGATACATAGTGCATGCTTAAGAAAGCAATGGTAATCAACCTGTTTCTCCTCAGTGAAGCCTCCTTCAGCAATGTACGTCCACTTTGAATCGTCGAATAGAATACGAACACGCAATGAAAAAACAGAGGACCACACATCAATAGTTCTTTGAGTGGAGTTATAGTTTTCGTTGGCCCAACTAAAACCTTCATCGGAGGGCAAAGCTTTTAGCCCTTCAATCGGCCGAAGCTGCTTAGGTTTAGGCATCGGAGATGCTAATAAAAGCGGAGTAGGGTTTCTCCTAACAAGTATTCCTCCGTTAACAAGTATTCCTCCATTAACATCATTCTTCTTTGCAGAGGATCCATTCACATTTTCGGGTAGCATTAGTTTTCGTCTTTCGGTCGTATTTACCATTTCAATAACCCTGCCGTGTCTACCCACTACAGCTGGCAACTCTCTCTCTTGCGTCTCGGCTTTGATCCTCCTAGTATGTATTTTCCTAGTTTTAAGGAGATGATTATTCCCATAGTTTTCGTTATACTTACAGTAGTTCGTCAATGAACCCGAGAAACTAAGGTTGTCGAGCGTGCGGCAACAGCAGCCGTGGGAAGCCAATATCGCCGCCATTTATCGAGGCCCAGCAAATCTGTAAAATCAATGGAAACTATCTGATTCAGTCATCCAAAACTTTTACAAATGATCTCATCAGAATTCACAGTTTAAAATAATATATATATTTCATTTTCCCCAATTTTTTTAACAACAAACAAGTAATCTAATCAACAACCTCCATTTTCCCAGATCATCCAAAACCCTAATAACTCTATAGGCTAGAAAACCCCAAAAATTAATCATAAATTAGAATTCAAAAGCGAAAATTAACAAAAAAAAAAGAAGTAGGCTTACAGTTGAATGGAAATTGGCGGTAGAGAAGAATCAGAAGAAGAATGAGAATGGAGAGATTTGTTGAGAAAAGAATTTGTATTTGAAAAATGGGAAAAATGGGAGTGCCACTTTCTTCAACTGTCATATTGTTTGACACTCAAACAGTATTCAGCAATTTAAACATGCCGGAAACAAACTATAGAAAATGACAGGTAACGTGCACCTTTTTTTCTTTTTAAATAATAAATAATTTATTGTTGTTGTGCTTAATATTATTATATAGAGTAGGTTTGTTTTTTTTTTTTTTTAAACCAAACACTTGCACTATATATTTGTACAAATAGCAATTCACTTACAACACATATACAAGTGGTCCGTGGATGCGTGTTATTATATATATCAATCAATGGTGAATTATTTCATCAGGTGTAGCATCTACGCATCTACAAAATCGTAATTTGATTTGTATAGATGTTCAATTCGCACAGTTGCAATGTCGAAGAATTATCGATTACCATGTATAAGTTGTCTCTTAATATGCTGGATAAACATGCATTTTACTTTCTTTAATAATAAGTTAATAACTATGTTATAGTATACATCCTAAAACAATCTAGAAATTGAAATTAAATTCATCATAATTGAAGGTACATATAGGTAATTATTTGATCGTAAAACACTAATATCACTTGAATCTTGTTTAGAGGGTGAAATTATCAAAATTCAACTCATGTATTTAAATCTTAATTAGGGTTTGATCGAAAGTTGTAAGTAGGTTGGTTGTCGGCATTTACTTGAAGCTCCCATAACTAAGATCAATCACATCATTTGCATGTGACCTAATCTTGGAATGAAGAATTGGCATGCAAACAATATGAATGAATTGTTGGTGTAGCAATAAACAATATTTGGAAGCTAAGGGGTTTAATTTATATTTGTAGGGGATTATGTGATATTCCATAGTTTTTTTTTTCTAACATAATTCTTAGATCACTTAAAAAACAACATAAGTTCTCGATCGTGACTGCCTATCCCGTATAACAACTGTAAAAAGGAAAATAAATTGAACATCTTGTTGGGTTCGTGTTAATCAGCACGAACTCAATGCATTGAGTTTTTGTTGAACAACACAAACTCTACAAATTTTCTGTTGAGTTTGTGTTCTTCAACATTAACGCAGTGTATTGAGTTTCCAAACATTTTCTTTTTGTTATTTATATATATATATATATATATATATATATATATATATATATATATATATATATATATATTATTGCTAACTCCACCCTAAGTTAGTTCTAATTACCCAGTTAATCAATTTTGCCCTTAATCCAATTCTGATCCCAATTTTAACCATGATCGCCGGTCAGTCGCGGTTGACTTTTTTTTTTTTTTTTTTAAATATATTTAATTTGTGTTTTTTGAAAAACTATTTTCAGTAATATCATTCTCATAACCTACAATATTGTTGTCACAAATAATAATATTGTTCGGATTTGTCATATATGAGCAGTTAGCCGGTTACGATCTATATAATATATTTTTCTAAAGAATTTTAAAAATTATATTTAATAAAATAAAAATTGAAAAAAGAAAAAAGAAAAAGACCATGGCATATCACATGGCCCTCTACAAATAGCATTTGAATATTTGGAACGGACGGTCTATAAATAAAGTGAAATTGAATCTCATTAATTGAGAGAGAGACATATTACCTATTTCACATGAGTTGTTCTAATAAATAACTTGTTAAGAGCATCTCGAACTTTGATAAATTTAAATAGCTAAAAGTAAAATATAACATTTTACCATTTGTAAAAGAAAAAAAATACGGAGAGAATATATTGATAGTTATAAAATGTAAATGAAGTAAATGATGAATAATAAATAAATTATAAAATATATTAGAACAATATATTTAGATGATATGATTAGAGTGAATAATAAAATTGATTTGCTAAAACACTATTTATTAGCTCAAGCAAAGATCCAAAATGTCATCTTTGAGGTTGATTCCTTTAATGCAATTCACTTCATCACGGATCATATTTTTGTTTATTTAAACAAGCGACACGACCCTCATCAAAAATCTTGAGAGATAGATACCTTCATCAAGTATATCACGCACACTGGTAAATGTAAACACATACAAGCTATGCGTCAAACCATTAATAATGTCAAAATTAAGAAATCAAATATAAAACTTCAAGTTTCAAATGCAAACGAAATAGTAGTGGGCATACACATCTACCTCAAACATAAGAACAAACCAAGTCCTCCAGCCAACGGCGCCGTGCCGGGGTGGCGGGGCGCTCCTGCTACCAAGCTAACCTATACTACTCTA